AGGATTTGTAAAGGCATGGTTGTATCCATTTTTCTGTAGACTATGAAGCGTTGTTGCATTTTGCATGAGCATCATTGTTTTGTTTGGACAATAGCAGTCATTTTGATGATTGATTATGGACAACTAAAATTGAAAATACAGGATATCTCTTGTGAATCTTGGGCCTTATAACACGTTACTGTACATTGAGGACATTAATAGAATTCTATTTTTCTCTTTAAGTGGACTCATAATATTTATTTTTAACTCTTTAGTTTTCACATCCTTATTTCTGTGTGTTTATTTTGTGCTTCCCAGTGAATATTAGATGCTCACATGCTACCTATCACCAAAGAAAAAAAAAAAAAATACAAGCCCAAATGTATCGCGGTTGTCATTTATCATTGAAAAAGGTTACATGCTGGAAACTTTTACGGAGTGTGTATTTGTCATTGCATCCGTGTTCATTCCATGAAAATAACTTTTACAATTTTTTGATTGACTCATTACCTGATAAAGTTGCCGTCAATTGAGATAGGCATATGTGTAGATAGGTGTTGAATTTTTTTTTTCCAGCTGGATAGAATTCACCCTTGAGTTCATTTGCTTTACAGGACAACTCTTGGTTTTTGGGCTGGCCATCGAAACTCTAGAATTAGAGTTATACTAGCACGTGTGTGGGAGAATGATACAGAACTAGATATTTCAAACAACAGAATAAATAGGGCTACTGGACATCTTGTCTATCAAAAGAGGTTTTATGGATCTAAATACTGTATATGCCCTGGTGGATCTCAGGTTAACAGTGCACGCATAGCTGACTCAATCCATTATGGATGTATTCCTGGTAAGTGTTACAACTGTTGCAACTTTTTTCGATAGCCAAGAATGGGTATAAATATGTTTTTATAATTTCATATCTCAAAATATGAAATTAAAGATTTTGATTCTTTAACAAGGTCCCTTTCATGAAGGAAATTAAAATAAAAATGAATTGAAAACAAAAAACATGCATGAAGGAAATTTGACATATATTTGTTATTTTAGTCTTACTCATTATGTGCATGCTCATATTCTCTTAGTATCTAATTGGGGCTTAGCAATCATGCTGATTGCCCCTGAATTATGATAGAAGGAACACCTCGCATGATGCATGGAAAAACTTTTTTTGGTATAACAAAGGACAAATGATTTCCTAGCATGATTAATAGTTCTTTATATATTTGTGTGTATGCGTGCGTGGAGTTATTTTTTGAATCTCTTCATTTAGATTGCACAAGTGAGGCACCTCTAGAGCTCATATGTGGTACTACACCTTTTGGTCTGGCATAAAACTAAATCCATTCTTCTAGCATCAGTACTACTCCTAACTAGTATTTTCTTAGCTGGACAATTGTTAAGTTGCAGTTGGATAATTTCTTGGGCTTACTTGCAAGATGTCAGAAACTCCATAACATGGTTTTAAATCATGGTTTCAGTCCTGGATTCATTTGCTGTCGCAAGGAAGCAGGCTGTTGCGGTTGTTGTGTAATATGCTCATGGTTATAGCTTAGTACCTACAAATATATGCTAATGAAATGTCTGACCTAGGAAGGTCGGTGTTTATATAAATCAATATAAACCATTTGATTGTGAATAAATAAAATGCACTAAGGAAAAAGATGAATTTATAAATTAAAAAAAAAAAAAAGAATTTCTCAAGTGTAATGGTTGTTCCTCCTATTACAGCTGTTACAGTCGCAAAATATAACGTATAATTAATAGAAGGCTAAAACTCTGTTATGAAACTGCCATATGCTATGTACCGATAGTTTATTTTAGAACCATGCTCCATATTTATGAAGCTTCCCATAAACACAAACATTTTTCATGCAATTTTAACTGTTGTTCAAAAAGTTGGTTGAGAATCACTTCTTTGAATACTTTTGTCACTTCTCTTGCAGTAATATTGTCGAACTATTATGACCTGCCATTCAATGACATTCTTGATTGGCACAAATTTTCCGTCATACTTACGGAGCAGGATGTGTACCGACTCAAGCAAATTCTGAAGGACATACCCGACAAGAAGTTGGTTTCACTGCATAAGAATTTAGTTAAGGTAGAGCCCCCTCCATTGCATCTTCAAATGTGGTTCTTTTTCTTGTCAGATTATGGATTTTTGTTATGACTCGGCAACTTTGAATTTCTTCTTAATGATTTGCAATAACTCAAAAGCACTTAATGTTATGTTTATCAGGTACAGAAGCATTTCCAGTGGAATTCGCCCCCTGTCAAATACGATGCATTCCATATGGTCATGTATGATCTCTGGCTGCGCCACCACGTGATCAAATACTAGTTGTTTAAGGGGCGTGATTCCAATTGTCATCCTTTCATGCTCACAACCCAAAGCCTGTACATCTCCATGCCCCTTTGAGCTGTATACAAAACGCCCTCCATGCCCCTTTGAGCTAGGAAATTGGAGTGCTTTCAAGGTTCCAATTTTGTTTTTCTTCTTTCTGTCCAGCACTGGATCTATTGTATATGTTTCTGATTCATGATTTCTCGTTTTATAATGCAGCGCTAGTTTTTTTATTTCAATATTAAAAATAGATATTTATAAAATTAAATATTATATTTATTTGAAATCATGATAACTTTATAAAAAATAAACTAAAATAAATTATAAATTTTAATATTTAATCAATTCATGTTAATCCAATAAACAAGTAATTTATATAATAAAATATATTGAGTTTAATAATTTTTTTTTGTAATATTTTATATTTAATTATGTAATAATAAAATATAGATGCTTGTAAATTAAAGCATTAATTTAATATATCCCATATTAGAATATTTGTTTGAAGTCATGATAAATTTTATATAAAACAAATCAAAATAAATTTTCAAATACAATTTATAATCAACTTGTCAAGTCTGAAATTTGATTCTATTAGATTTAATAATTTTATTTTTTTTAAAATTATTTTTTATTTAATCACATGATAATCAAAATAAATGTTTATAAAATCAAGCATCAATAAATATTGAAATGTTAGTTTGAAATTGCAATAAATCTTTAAAAAAAGCAAATTAAATTAAATTAAGAAGTTTAATTTAAAATAAATTAAAATAAATTAAAAAATTTAATTCAAAATTAATCAAATATTTAAAAATAAAGTAATATTTTTTTTTTTCTAAAACAAAAACTAAGTATGTCGGTCTAGGAAGTATATGGACATATTGTACATCTTTTGTGTGTGTGTGTGTGTGTGACGATGCTTTGCCTTGCTTGGTATGAATTCAACTATCATAGAGATTGTTAGAAAATTAGGAGTTTTTTTTCCTTCTAAATTTCTAGCAACTTATTTTTATCTAAAAATACTAACTAAACACTCTTAAAATCTAAAAATAAAAAAACTAATTTCTCAACCTAAAATAGCATAATAATAATTTGAAAACACACATAATCAAACATGAAAAAAAAGTTCTTTCTCAATCTCAATTTACATTCTCGAACGAGATAAAGGTTTAAAAATATTTTAATTGGAGAATGGAATTAGTTTATACCAAAATTGATAATTTTTGTTACTAGAATATGACAAACTAACAACTTTCTTTTTTATTCGCTATTATTTGGTAATTTTTTTTTTTTTAAGTTTAAAAATTAAAATATTAAAAAAATAAACTTTTAGATCAAAATTAAAACTACAAAAACTAAAAAAATTATAAAAGAAGGAAAAGGAAAGCCAGTGGACTAAACAAAACTTTTTTGTGTGAATTTGATATTTATCATATGGTTTCTTCTTGTTTTATATTTTTTATCATCTTTTGTTTAATTTTTTCTTTATGTAAAAAATCTTGATAAACTGATCATTATTTTTTTTTATTCACTCATTGCTATTAGAAAATTATTTTATTTTAATAAAAACATCATATAAATTAAATTTTTTTTATATAAAATACAAGAAGAAGAAAAAAGTAGAGTAAAATTAAACTAATCTCTTTGAAGTACTATAAAAATTAGAAAAAAAGTAAATAGATGAATCACTATTTCAATAATAAAGTTAACACAGTGAAAACATAATAATATGAGAGATAAAATTAATTAATACTTCAGTAGAAAAAAACTAATATAAAGAAAAAATAAATGAGGTAAAGTGCATATAAAACTAATAGGCCAGATCCATATGTTTGGCCTATGATGAAAAAGTTCAAGCCCATGCTTACATTTCTTTTTCAAGGAGAGTCAGGTGCTCTATTTTTTTTTTTTTAATAATTGAGTGACAGGTCACCCTAAAAATATTGAAGAAATTAAAAAAATAAAATAAACGGTTGATCCACTTTTTTCATCTAGTTCATAAAAAAACACTATCTCATTTGAATTGTTGTTCAGAAGATAAATCCATTAATATAAAGTTTGATCATTTTATAGTTGGAATTGTCTATTTAACAATTTTTTTCTTTTTTTAAAACTTTATAGTAATTTTTTTCTTCTTAATATATAAATTTAAAAAGTAAAGAAAATAAAGTTTAGAATTAAAACGTATATTTCAAAATAACAATAACTAAATAATAGAAAATTTAAAACTTTAAAGGCTGATCTAAAGTTCCTCATGCCAAAATCTAACGAATTACACAAAAAAAATAACTAAATAATAGAAAATAAAGTTTTTTTTTCTTGGTAAAATATTGCTCTCTTTCTTTTAAATTTGTAAGCTCAACCATGTCCCCTTTCAAACATAATCCAAAACTCAATACATTAGTGACCAAACGAATTACACAAAAAACAAAAAATGTAATATGGACATATAAAATATTAAAAATATATTAATTTAAGATAAATAAAAAAATTAAAAATTAAAAATTATTTTAAAAATACTTTTAAAATATAGAAATAATCAAGCTATTTGTTGGAGGCCGGACCGGGGCAGGTCTTCGGGACAAAACTCCGTGCCCAAACCCGTCCCTTGTCATTCGATTCTGAACAGGGTGATCTGATCGGGAAGCCCGGCGTCCGGTCCGGTCTAATAGGGCCGCTTTCATGTATATAAAATAAAATAAAAACAAATGTCCAAGGGATCTTTTGAAAATTTGCTTCCACACGGCCCCACGCGCACTCTGAGTCTAATTCAACGTTCCTTGAATCTTGGTGCGCATGCTGTATAGGTCATATGACCGGATTGCCTGCCTCTCTTCTCTAGCCTAGACTTTAGAAGAAAGAGAGAGAAGATGGTGTCGCAGACGATAGATTTGTTAAAGAAGGAGCTTCCTGTTGAAGAGGGAAGGCTGCATCTGAACGGAGATGGAGCTAAGACTACTGGTCTGGTCTTGGTCGACCTTGTTAATGGCTTTTGTACTGTTGGCGCTGGCAATTTGGTAACAAAACAAACAACCCAAGAATTGATCTTTTGCTTCTTCTTCTTCTTCTTATGCTATTAAATTACATATATGCACATAGAAAGAGAGAGGTCTCAATTTGTTTTTTTCTGTTGAGGTTGTGTTATGTTGTTTGTGATTTTTTTTTTTTACAAAATCTGTTTTGGCAGGCCCCAAAAGTGGCAGATAAGCAAATATCAGAAATGGTGGAGGAATCAGCGAGGATTGCTAGATTATTCTGTGAAAAGAAATGGCCTGTTTTTGCCTTTCTTGATACCCATCATCCTGATATACCCGAGCATCCTTATCCTCCTCATTGCATTCTAGGAACTGATGAAGCAAATCTTGTTCCTGGTAGCTACTGTGTCTTTCTTCTTACTATAAAAACCATACTATTCTTATTCTTATTTATTTATTGCATGGATGAATAAACGGATGGTATTCTATTCCTTTTTTATTTATAGCCCTTCAATGGTTGGAGAATGATCCTAGTGCAACTCTTCGCCGCAAGGATTGTATTGATGGATTCCTTGGTTCAATTGACAAACATGATGGTTCCAATGTCTTTGTTGATTGGGTTCGAAATAATGACATCAAACTTGTAAGCAGCAACACTCCTCTTTTCATTTCCTAAAATACTATTTATTGTTTCTTTTCTTTCTTTAAAAATCAATGGTGCATTTCCCTTTGGAAGCTACTGGTTGTAGGGATATGCACAGATATATGTGTCCTGGATTTTGTTTCTTCGGCCTTATCTGCCAGAAATCGTGGCCTTCTTTCTCCTCTTGAGGATTTGGTTGTGTATTCTCGTGCTTGTGCAACCTATGATCTTCCACTTCACATTGCCAAAACTCTCAAAGATACCATAGCACACCCACAGGTACCTTGAATTATTTAATCATAGGTTTGCTTGCTTTGATTTTCCTCCCATGTTCCCTGTTTTGATTAACCCTTGTGATGTACTTCAATTTAGATTAGCGGGCAAGCCATTTACCATGATGGCTGGGTTGTGTATGTCGAACGCAAAATTTTCTAATAAGTGTAGAAATATCACGGGTCAGCATTTTTCTCCGATTGTTGATCTCAGACATGCCAATTTTGTTAGATTATTAGGATTTTGACACAGTTGAGATTGGACATATAAATTAATAGTTAAGACACGGTATAGGCATGAGGGGGTGGTGTAAATTAATATCAGATTGCTTGTTTAATGCACGGTGATGATTATGGGACGGTGCCTTTACAAATGAGAAGTGCGATGCACAAATTGGAGGATCAGGTTCTTTGATCAATTTTTCTTTTAGTAGTTTATTATTTTTATTGTATTAGTTGGCTTAATCTTTTGTTTTTTCTTGTAATGATATTTACTTGAATCTGCATCTTTACGGAAAACAGACATTACATGCTTTTCCCTATGCATTGGTGAAATATGCAATCTTACCCCATTTCATTTTATTTTATTTGTGTGGCAGGAGCTGATGCATCACATAGGCCTCTATATGGCCCAGGGAAGGGGAGCCAAGGTAGTATCAGAGGTTTCTTTTGGTTCATTGCCACAGCCGTTATTTTAGCCCAGCCACGCTTTACATGTTCGTCGGATAGGGGTAGCTGAAAGAACAGTATGTATGTAGAAAAAGGTTTTTTATATTTGGGTTGCCACTCAATAATTATGGCATGGGTATTGAAATTAGTTGAATGGAAAACAAAATTGTCACACTTGATTATGTTTTGCTTGGTAAATTTCTGTGCAATTCTAAATGACAATGTCTCAGTAGGAATGTTCTTGGCCAGTGATTTTCGTAGTTGGTTCTGTTTCAATTGTTTATCAACGGAACGAGTGTCCTTTTCATGTTTCGATTCATGAATTGTATAGTATTGAAAGGGATATAGTCTGGAATTTGTGTGACTAGGAGATTGTCCGCTGTAATTAGCTTCGAATCCCTTTTCAGGAGATCAGCAAACCAAATTTGAATTACAAGGCACTTGACAATTCAGTAGATTAAATTTGAGACTTCCATCTTGAACATCTCGTGTTGAAGTTCTGGAATTGGTGGGGGTGGAGATTCAGGGGAAGGGAGAGTTACTTACCCCTGTAGTTGAGCCTGAGATGCACTGAGCCTTCCCGTAATTACATTCAATTCATGCTGCAGTTCTATAGAATTGCATTTTCAGGACTGAATTTACCAGAATTTTCAGGGCGGCAGTTAATTTCCTCTGGAAGGACAGAGTAGCAGTACGTTCCCCATCAGAATTGTTCAAAAGGATGTTTCTCATTCCAAGTATTAAGGATACTTCCAAACTACGTGTTCTTTCTGAGGTTCAAGAGAATGAAAAGAAAGGAATATATTATGTTCTTTCTGGCGCGTGAATAATGGTTTTGATATGCAATAAATGGAAGATCAAATTCAAATAAATTCATCAATTTCAAGTTCACATTTTGTCTGTAGTCTCTCTACAAGCATTTCTTATTTCTTATTTCTTTTTGCTTTTTAAGGATGTGGCATGGTTACAGACATTTAGGACAGCATATAAGGAAAGCAAAACTTTCATACAATTACGCAGAAAAGATTTCTTGGTTCATTTTATGAGGTTAAAATGCAAACACACTGACAGGTTAAGTGAAATCAAATTGTTGAAGTATTCTTCTCGTTCTGATACTTTTGATTGATCAATAGTAAGCACCCGTAGTACATAGAAACCATACCTTGATAAAAAGTAGAACAGAGAAGGAAGCTTAGGCTTGTGAAACAACAACAACAACAACAAATGGATTAGATAGAACTCAGCCAACCGATTCAAATAGCACTAATTTACACGTTGGGTCCTGATCTTAGATGTCTCCTATTCATTGCAGGGTGCATGCGAGAAAAGATAGAATTCTTTTGCTTTTTGGGTTTTATGCCAAAGATGAACGACCGCAAAGGAACTCGAGATCGACTTTCTGAGTGTGGAAGCTGGATATTTTGACCGTGCTTTGATCTAGAAAGCTTAAATTCCTCGTTCAATTTTTCCAGTGTTCTTTCAACTTCGAGTTGGAGTGTTGTTATGTGATCTAAGCCTGCCTGCAATTCATCTGCAACCTTGTTATTCTCTTGTTTCATGTTCAAAATCTCTCCTTGGAACTTAGCAGCTTGATAGCTTGTAAACTTGAACTCATCATCTTCAGCACTCTCCTTCAATACAGTTGTTATTTCATCTTGAATGTCGCACAAAGATGCAAATCTGCTCTTCACTTCATCTTTCAGTTGCATGCTTTTCTCTAACCAGACTGTCAGTTCAGTATGTATCTCTCTAAGGTACTTGTATAGTGGCCGCCCATCTGATCTCAAAGAATATTTTGCATTGCCACTCCCATCTTGCATCTTTTGCTTTTCCTCTAGTTTGAACAACTCAGACTGTAGATCTTGAACTTCAGTTTCAAATTTCTGTATTTGTTGGAATGTAGTGCTGAACCTTAACCAGAAATTCAAGTTCTCTTCTAGAACTTCATCAATGTTCATCCGGAATCGATCTTCGATTTCTGAGGTAATTTCTGGTTGGTCCATTAGAATCACATTGATGTCTCCTGTTACTTCTTGTTCTGTCACCATTGATTCTACAGGTTTGCTATCTTCACTCAAACCTGCTTGAAGAAGGATCAGCTTCTGGCGTAGAAATTGAATCTGTTCATCCTTCTTTGCATTAGCACTCTTCAACTCTCTTACCTGCACTGTTGCATCAAAGAGGCTATCTACATTCTTCTTTTCTGCTTCAGTAAGCTGCTTCTTTAATTCCTTGTAATTCCGAAGAATTGAAGTATACTCCGTCAGCAGTACTTTTTCTCTATTCTCCAGACCATTCATGAACAACTGCTTCCAGTCTGGCTCATCAACTAGCATTGTTTCCTGTTCCCATATTTCAACATTGAGATCATCCATCGATGAAGGTGAATCTTTCTTAGCAGCTTTTTCTTCAATTTCCAGGCCACTAAGTTCCTCCAGAGAATTGTTGAGGTCATTAGTTTTCTTGGGTTGACTTGAATTTTGCCCATGCTCTTTTATCTCTTCCTCTTCTCTTTTAATTCCTGTAGTCTTTATAGAACTATCAGCATCATTCATTTTATCTTCTTGTTCCTTTAACTCCGCAAAGAAACTGGATTCCGCAGGATTTTCCTTTACTTTCTCTGAAGAATATGAAACCTTGAGCTCGTGACGTGGCTTCAGATTTTGTTGTACCCCAAGACTCTCATCAGGATTTAGTGCATCTTCTGATCCCTTAAAATCTTCATGGGATTTACCCAAAACCTTGTGATGCTCTTTAGTCTTCACATTCTGATGTTTCTCAAGGCTATCATCAGGATTGAGTGCAGCTTCTTGTGATTCAACTTTTACCAGTGATCTGTCCTCTGTTTCAGGTTTGGCCTCAAATTCCTCATCTGATTTTACAGACAGCAATTTTTCGGAGAGGTGATCAATATTAGAACGAGCTTCAGTAAAATGTGCATGAAGGTTGGTATTCTGGTGCTCAACACTCTGGTTTAGATCCTGGAGTCCATACAATTTCTCCTCCATTTCCCTAAGCTGTTCCCTCAAATCATTTTTGCCATTGAATAATATTTCCTTGTCTTCTTCTAAAGTTCGAATTTCTGCTTGCAGTTCGTTGGTCTCCAACCTTAACCTCTGTACAAGAGCTGTCTGTGATGAAACTGAAGCTTCTAAGTTAATGATCTTGTTTACAAGTTTATCGATCTTCTCAGCAAGTTCTCCCATGGTGACACATGCACTAGATCCAACCTCAAAGTTTTCCTTAATCTTCTCACGCAACAACTCCATATCCTGTTTCTCTTCTGGATCACTGCTCACTCCTTGATATATACTTTCCAATCCTTCTACTGCTTTTAAAAGTTCATCTTTGGCTTCAGGATTTTCTGGATTGATCTCACCATGCAAAAACTCATCCTTGAGAGACTTCAACTTCCCCCAGGCATTCTTTATTCTTTCCTGCTCTTCTACTGCTTCTTCTGCAGATCTCTCTTGTCTCTCCTGCAACAGAGCCAATGTCTCTTGGCATGATTTCAGGGCTGCCGATGCGATCAATGTCCGAGCTTCGTTGTCTTCAATGACCATGCCTGCACCAAATTCATCTTGCAAATTACAAACCTTCTCCTGCATTTCCCTGATCCGAAGCTCAATTTCCCAATACTTGGCAAGTCTGCTGTCATAAGAACTCTTCACAAACTCTTTTTCAGTTTGTAGAGCCAGGATTGTTTTCTGAATTTTGTCAATCTCTTGGAGTCCCTCGGATTTGCTTAAACCAGACTTGGCAACTGTTGCATTCCTTGCTCCTTTCATTGGCTTCTTTGATTGCAGCTTATTTGAAGCTGATGTGATGATACCCTTTACATCTTTAGGAATCTTTGGGACCTTTGGAACATTTGCTTTTGAGATTTCTGGAAGCTTCTTCGCAAATTTAGACGGAATCTCATCTCCATCTTCTTCCATTGCAAACTGAACTTGTTCTGGGAAAACATGAGCAATTGTATTGTTGGCATTTTGTAGCTCTTTTGATATGTGGTCATACCGTTCAGCTAATGCCCGATAAGCTCGGTAATAGTCTTCAACGAAGTGTATCAGCTCTGGTCTCTTTTTGTAGTACATTTCAGCCCTCTTGGCAAAAGAGTCGCCATCTTCTTCAATAAGTTTGAGCACGTTTTGAACCTTATCTTCCATATCTGCAATTGAAGATTTGTGTTGTTAAGGCATGTTATACACATTGCGTTTATGCATGTTATGAATCAATTGGTTCATATATAGATGAAGGCATTTGACAAATTTATAAAGCAATGAGATGGAAATGAACTTCAGTAGTTTCAGTTCGCCAGCAGAAGGTCCAAAATTATTTGAAATTGCCGGAAGAGGTCCAGAATCTTATTAAAAACGGCCTAATATTGTGACTTGGTTTCTTTTAAGTAGGTTTTATATAATCAACATTAGACTTTTACCATATGTTACCATCACGACATGAATAAACCTGGAAGTCATTGCCGTGCTTGACTTAACTGGAAAACTAAATGCATTGAAATGAGATCTTTTTCATGCATATGTAAGCCAAACATGTGAGATGCAAACCAATCCAGACTTTTGGGAAATATAGAAACTTGATCAAGCAGGTCTAATGGCGCATCTGGGCTTGGCCTTGCCTTATTATAGCAAAAAAGAAAAGGAAAACAAATGTATTCTCAACTAAATTTGTTCTTCCAACAAGAACGAGCTTTGCAGAAATCAGATGGAGTGTATCATGCACGTAATGAATCGATTAGCATACGAAGCAGTCTAATTTCCTATTCAATCGTAAATCTCCCTCTACAACTTTTTGTTAAACCCCGTGAATAAAAAATGAATGTGTGATTGCTACAACATGAGGTTTACAGAAGGCCGATTAATCCAATCACTAACATATTTAGTGAGAAACTAGACAAGAGTAAACACTAATAATTACCATGAAGGTTTTGCTCGAGCCATTTAGATTGCTTTGTTCGGATGTGGCTTGCCCACCACCATGAGTAAGCATTGCTTGCAGCTCTCTGCAACATATTACTGTTTCTTTCTTCTGATATCTTTTGTTTCTCCAAATAAAAAATATGTTGGATCATGCAGCTTTTCTCCTTCTGTTTCTTCAACAAGGGACAGACCGAACCACACGCAATGCAACGCTGCAAGTAATTGCAGCCCTCCCCTCTCTACCCACCCTTTCTCTTACAAAGGAGTACAACAAGACATGGAAACCCGAAACGTCGTACCCTTTTGTTTTG